TGGTTGGATCTCCTTGCAGTCCAAGGGATTCTCACGAGTCTTCTCCAGCACCACAGTTCAAAAGCATCAATTCTGTTCATCGCAGCACTGTTTATAATAGCCAGGACATGGAAGCAACCTAGATGCCCATCAGCAGACGAATGGATGAGGAAGCTGTGGTACATATACACCATGGAATATTACTCAGCCATTAAAAAGAATTCATTTGAATCAGTTCTAATGAGATGGATGAAACTGGAGCCCATTATACAGAGCGAAGTAAGCCAGAAAGATAAAGACCATTACAGTATACTAACACATATATATGGAATTTAGAAAGATGGTAATGATAACCCTATATGCAAAACAGAAAAAGAGACTCCGATGTATAGAACAGACTTGTGGACTCTGGGAGAAGGCGAGGGTGGGATGTTTCAAGAGAACAGCATCGAAACACGTATATTATCTAGGGTGAAACAGATCACCAGCCCAGGTTGGGTGCATGAGACAAGTGCTCGGGCGTGGTGCACTGGGAAGACCCAGAGGGATCGGGTGTAGAGGGAGGTGGGAGGGGGGACTGGGATGGGGAATACATGTAAATCCATGGCTAATTCATTTCAATGTATGACAAAACCCACTGCAATGATGTAAAGTAATTAGCCTCCAACTAATAAAAATAAATGAAAAAAACAAAATAAAATAAAATAAAATGACTCTGAAAAAAAAAATAAATAAACAAACACCTCAAAAAAAAAAAAAACCAAAAACAAAAGCATCAGTTCTTCAGTGCTCAGCTTTCTTTATAGTCCAACTCTCATATTCTTACATGACTACTGGAAAAACCATTAGCTTTGACTGGATGGACCTTCACTGGCAAAGTAATGTCTCTGCTTTTTAATATGCTTTCTAGGTTGGTCATAACTTTTTCTCCAAGGAGCAAGCACCTTTTAATTTCATGGTTGCAGTCACTATCTGCAGTTATTTTGGAGCCCAAGAAAATAAAGTCTGTTACTGTTTCTCAACCTATTTGCCATGAAGTGATGGGACCAGATGCCATGATCTTAGTTATCTGAATGTTAAGTTTTAAGCCAACTTTTTCATTCTCCTCTATCACTTTCATCAAGAGGCTCTTTAATTCTTCTCTTTCTGCCATAAGGGTGGTGTCATCTGCATATCTGAGGTTATTGATATTTCTCCTGGCAATCTTGATTCCAGCTTGTGCTTCTTCCAGCCCAGCATTTCTCATGATGTACTCTGCATATAAGTTAAATAAGCAGGGTGATAATATACAGCCTTGATGTATTCCTTTCTCAATCTGGAAACAGTCTGTTGTTCCATGTCCAGTTCTAATTGGTTTTTCTTGACCTGCCTACAGATTGCTCAGGAGGCAGGTCAGGTGGTCTGTTATTCCCATCTCTTTCAGAATTTTCCACAGTTTGTTGTGATCCACACAGTCAAAGGCTTTGGCATAGTCAATAAAGCAGAAGTAGATGTTTTTATGGAACTCTTGCTTTTTTGATGATCCAACAGATGTTGGCAATTTGAACTCTGGTTCCTCTGCTTTTTCTTTTTTCCCATTTATTTTTATTAGTTGCAGGCTAATTACTTTACAATATTGTAGTGGTTTTTGCCATACACTGACATGAATTAGCCATGGATTTACATGTGTCCTCTGCCTTTTCTAAATCCAGCTTGAACATCTGGAAGTTCACGAATCACGTATTCCTGAAGCCTGGCTTGGAGAATTTTGAGCATTACTTTGCTAGCATGTGAGATGAGTGCAATTGTGTGCTGATTTGATCATTCTTTGGCATTGCCTTTCTTTGAGACTGGAATGAAAACTGACCTTTTCCAGTCCTGTGGCCACTGCTGAGTTTTCCAAATTTGCTGGCATATTGAGCGCAGCACTTTCACAGCATCATCTTTTAGGATTGAAATAGCTCAACTGGAATTCCATCTAGCTTTGTTCATAGTGATGCTTCCTAAGGCCCACTTGACTTTGCATTCCAGGATGTCTGGCTCTAGGTGAGTGATCACCCCATTGTGATTATCTGGGTCATGAAGATCTTTTTTGTATTCTGGGTCATAAAGATCTTCTGTGTATTCTTGTCACTGTTGTTAATATCTTCTGCTTCTGTTAGGTCCATACCATTTCTGTTCTTTATTGTGCCCATTTTGCATGAAAAGTTCCCTTGGTCTCTCTAATTTTCTGGAAGAAATCTTTAGTTTTTCCCATTCTATTGTTTCCCTCTATTTCCCTCAGGATTCACCAATTCACTGTAAGGTGGTGGTTGCATCCCTGATGACTGTGACATTCTTTGCTTACTAATCTGGCAGGTAATATTCTATTTATTACTTCCCCTTCTCTACTCCCCCATTCCCTGGCAACTGCTACCTATTTTCTGTCTCTGTCAGTTAGCCTATTTTGGACATTTCATGGGCTTCCCTGGTGATGCTAGTGGTAAAGAATCTGCCTGCCAATGCAGGAAACATGAGTTCAATCCCTGGGTTGGGAAGATCCCCTGGAGAAGGAAATGGCAACCCATTCCAGTATTCTTGCCTGGAGAATCCCATGGACAGAGCAGCCTGGTGAGCCACATTCCACAGAGTTGCAAAGAGTTGGGCACCACTGAAGTTACAGTACTCATGCACGGACGTTTCATATTAAGGGAAACATACAGTAGCTGGACTTTTGTGACTGGCTTCTTTCATTATCATGTTTTTAATGTTCATTCATGCTGTACATGAATCTCCATGAATCAGTACATTTCTTTTTATGGTTGAATAATATTCCATTGCATGGATCTACATCTGGTTTAACCATTCATCATTTGATGAACAATCAGGTTATTTCTACTGTTTTGGCTATTGTGAATAATATAGGGCTATGAACCTTCCTGTGTAAATTTTTGTGTGGACACACACTCTCATTTTCCTTGGGTCTATACACAGGAGAGCAACTGCTTGGTCACGTAACAACTGTGTGTTTAAGTTTTTGAGTAACTGCCAAACTTTTTCTAAAATGGCTACATCATTTTACATTCTCACCAGCAATATGTGATCAGTCCAATTTCCCAAGACCCTCAATTTACATTCTACTATATGAGCTATCTTTGCATGCATATCACTGTTCCTCTTGGATTTAAACTCCTAGAGGGCATGAACTGCACCGAGGCTGTCAAAATAGCAATCACAGCACAGGCCAGGTTCGGAACAAATCTCACCTGTCAGTTGGATTAACTTTTTTTTATTATAATCACTTACAGTTTCAAACTAGAGGGTAAGCTTACTTCAGGAGAAAGTACAGATCTAATTTCACATCTTCCAAAGACGTCTACACAGAAACCCCACTTATTGCGCCCTTACAGGATACTTGCCATATATGATCTTATTTTTCAGATGAGGAAACTGAAATCCAGGCTACTCATCCAAGTAATTAACGGCAAAGCTGGACTTTAGACCCAAATTTTCACTGAACCACATTGCCCTTTACGGTGAAGAAATTCTACCTATTTTGCAATAAAGGGGGAGGGGGGCGGGGGGAGAGGGAGAAAGAGACTTAGTTCAGTTCAGTTGGGTTCAGTTCAGTTGCTCAGTCGTGTCCAACTCTTTGTGATCCCATGAATCGCAGCACGCCAGGCCACCCTGCCCATCACCAACTCCCAGAGTTTACTCAAACTCGCGCCCATCGAGTCAGTGATGCCATCCAGCCATCTCATCCTCTGTCGTCCCCTTCTCCTCCTGTCCCCAATCCCTCCCAGCATCAGGTTCTTTTCCAATGAGTCAACTCTTCGCATGAGGTGGCCAAAGTACTGGAGTTTCAGCTTCAGCATCAGTCCTTCCAATGAATACCCAGGACTGATCTCCTTCAGGATGGACTGGTTGGATCTCCTTGCAGTCCAAGGGACTCTCAAGGGTCTTCTCTAACACCACAGTTCAAAAGCATCAATTTTTCGGTGCTCGGCTTTCTTCACAGTCCAACTGTCACATCCATATGTGACCACTGGAAAAACCATAGCCTTGACCAGACTTATTTAAAGGCCTTTTTTTCCCGCGTCTATAAACTCCCCAAAGGAAGGACCAAGATTTTGTTTCTTTTGTTATCGCCTACTCTACACCTGGCTTCCCAGGTGGCGCTAGTAGCAAAAGAACCTGCCTGCCAATACAGGAGACGCAGAGAGATGTGGGTTCCATCCCTGGGTGGGGAAGATCCCCTGGGGGAGGGCAGGGCAACTCACTCCGGTATTCTTGCCTGGGCAATCCCTTGGACAGAGGAGGGTGGCAGTCCATAGGGTTGCAGACACCACTGAAGCGACTTAGCACGCACGCAGGAGCTCAGTTCATAGCGGTAATTCAAAGACTACTCTGTGAACAATGATATAATGACTAATAAGCTAAAAATAAAAAAAGGAGGGTATTGTTAATCAGGGTCTGGGTCAGTCCCTCATTGCGCCCGTATCTGACAATATACGGTAAGCGTCTAACCACTTGCCAACGGCGGCAGCCAGGGCTATATCTCGCTTAAATCCCCCAAAGTTGGCCTCTGTGCCTGAAAAACGTCACCACATGGGACCCACAGAAGCGCTGCCGCTCCAGCTATAATCCCTGCGCGTCCAGACACTGCCCGGCGCCTTGGGCTAGCGTCCGCTGTCAGAAAAGCGGAACTGGAGATGGAGCTTTTTGCCCCTGACCAACATGGCCACTCTGAGACTTCAGACTGAGGGCGGCAGCCTACGGATCACGTGGGGAAAATCTCGGTCTTCTATTGGATTCCTCTGCTGGACGGCCACGGGGACAATAACCCACGTGGGCCGGTCTTAAAGGGCCCGCGGCTGTCTCCGCCGGAGCTCTGCCCTCGGTGGCCGGCCGGGGCCCCCGAAAAGCAAGGCGGCGGGCGGGGCCCGGCGCTCTCCCGGAGCCGCGGTGACCGCCCCCGGCTGCGACGCGAGCCCCGAGGCGGTTAACAGTCAAGTCGGCAGACCGGAGAGGCGCGTGAGGATCCCGCGGGCGGCCGCGCGGGGATGGAGGACGGCTCTGCAGGGCCCCGGCTCGGGGCGGCGGCCGAGGCGGCCGAGGCGCGAGCGCAGCCCGGGGGCACGCTGCGGCCCTTCGCGCAGTTCTCGGGGGCGGCCGGGCCCGATGAGGGCGGCGGCGACTGGAGCTTCATCGACTGCGAGATGATGGAGGAGGTGGACCTGCAGGACCTGCCCAGCGCCACCATCGCCTGCCACCTGGACCCGCGCGTGTTCGTGGACGGCCTGTGCCGGGTGAGGGCCCGGGCGCGGCGGCCCGTCGGGCGGAGGGCGGACACTTGTTGCCGGGACGAGGCGGCGCCGAGGTCCGGGGCTGGCCCGGGGCAGCCTCTTCAAGCCGGGCCGCCGGCGGGGCAACGCAGCGATGTCCCCGGCCACCCTGCCTCGGTCCCCCTCTGTCCCGGCTGGGGTGGGAGCGCCCTCCCCGAGATCCCGGGTACCCGAGCACCTGCCGGGCCGCGCGCTGCCCGCCCATGGTGGGGATCTTCAAAGGGGCTTACTTTTCACCTGGGCTGGCTGTTAACCGCCTCCCAGCGATGCCCGCCCCCGGGTGTGAACTCGGGTGGGTTAGAGGGGCGCCATAGCAGGAGACGATCGGAGGATGAATAAGCTGCCCAGATGGCCTGGGATGCGCGTACCCTTACCTTGGGGCTTGGGTCGTGCCGGGCACTTTACTTAACTCCTTTGAGGAGGGGTCGCTTCATTCATAGCGAGGAGAAAACAGAGACATTTGGCTGCGCGACGTTGACTCACTGTACATAAATAGGACGGCGTCTCCGCATTCTCAATCTGCACGTCTGGGAAGGAAAGCCAATATTTGGGTGAGGAGCCGCGGTTGCTCTTTATCCAGCGCTTGGCCGGTTTTGGTCGAATGGTGTTGGGGGAAGGGGGCCATTTCCTAGGCCTTGAGGATAATTAGTCGGGAATCCCGCTCCCTAAAGGGGCGGGGGGCAGGGGATACTCAGTAAAGGGGGAATTGGATTTTGTTTTCTGTTTTTATTTTCCCCTCCGGATTCCCACCTTTTATACACGTTGGAGGGTGAGGGGGCAGGTATGAGTAACAGATGGTGGTGGGGAGGAGGGATTTATTTCTGATCTGCAATCAGTGTGCAGAATAAAATGTGGACCTCATCGGGCGTTGCAGGATAAAGACTGCCTTTGAGAGAGATGCTCCATTAGGGGAGCAACTATCAAAGAAAGTGTTGCTTTCGGATGCTTGGCTCTGAGTCCGCAGTTAACTTGTCAGTGAACTGGAGTTGAAGGTGGCTGCCAAGAGGAACACCATTGGAACAGAGAATGGTGCCCTTAAGTACCATCAGGTATAGGCCCATTTACTCTCAGAAAGGATGCCCAGTGCTGTGTACTTGGATAAGGGTCTGTGCGTGCTTTCTAAAGCTACCGTTGGCCAAATACAGGGTCTGACTCCTTTCACTCTAAAACCTTTTCTCTTCTTGAGGCTGAGGTCTGTCAGCATATGGAGTCTCTTTCTTAAGGGTCCTAGGCTGTCATGCCAAAGGAGCAAGATCAGCTCATACAAGATGCTGCTTTGCCTAGCAGTCTCATAGTTTTGCAGTCTTCCCTGTGTCAGAGACCATCCTGAAATTGCTGTGTCTGAAATGTTGCCCACCTTGTAAGCCCTTCACTTTAACAAATGCGTGGAGGTTCTGCTTTGAGCCAGGCACTATTCTAGGCTCCGAGGGCACAGCAGTGAAGAAAAGAGCCTTCCTGCCTTCAGGACTGGCATTTTTGTTGGGGAAAACAAGACAATAAACAAATACTTATCAAATAGGTCAGGAGGTGATGGTACTATAGGAAAACAATTGGCCTTAGGAGATAGGGATGGGAGGGGGACTGCTGTTTTACCATGAAACGATTGGGGAGAGGCTTACTCACAAGGTACTGTTTTGAGCAGAGACACCATTCATTCATTTATTCTTTTACTGTTTAGCGAATGCTTCCTGTGCTTCAGGTGCTGTTTTAGGCCCAGTGGACAGAGTGGTGAACACAATGAGCTTTCTGCTCATGTTCTAGCAGAGGCTGAGGAAGGGAGAGACAGTTTTAAAAAGGGGGTGCACAGGTGGGAATCAGGATGATGTGATAGGGAGTGACCGAGGAGAAGACAGGGACTGGGCTACAGCAGTCAGGGCCTAGCAGGGACACTGCAGTGGTTCGGGAGGTTTAATGAAGAACTGGTTGGTTGGGGCAGGACTGAGGGAATCAGCAGAGAGTGTTGGACAGAGGGAAGTCCTGTTGCTGGGGAGGAACCTCCTGGCAGGAGCTGCAGACATGGAGGGGTGGAACTGAGATGCTGAAGCAGTGGGCTGCAGGTTAAGAAGTACCCCAACTTGCCCCAGCTTTCTGATCTCATCATTGGTGGAACCAAGCTGGCAGCCAGGAGGCTGGGGACCCCAAGCAATGCAGCTGGTAGGTGGGGTCAGGGCTCAGAGAAGGTGGAGGGGGCAGAACACGGCCCTGGGATCAGTGCTGGTAAAGAGGACCTGCAGAGAGAGTCAGCCTGCAGCCCACTTTACACCAAGTGGCCCTGGAAGGCGACTCTGCACTGCTTGGATGTGGCTGGCAGGAAGAAGCTCCTCATGTAGATATTTTGTGGTGGGCATCCAGGCAGAGGGCATAGCAGATGTGAAAGTTCCAGTTCAGGGATGAGCGAAGGCCTTTCCAGGGCCCAGTGAGGGTGGTGGTTGTGGCCGAGGTTGGATGCAGCCAGGGAACGGTTCCCTGGGAGCCTGGGAGGCCCTGTGAGGGATTCGGGTCCTGTTCTAATTAAAAGCTAGCTGGAGAATGGCTTTGGGGAGGGAGGCTGGGTGGGCAGGAGAGGCAGAAAGGAGGCCCCTTGTGAGCATCTCAGCTCAGGTTGTCAGGGGAGCTGGCCAGGTGTTTGCACTAGGCTGGTAGGGTTGGAAACTGTGCTCTCTTCTCCATTTGGGGGTCAGGAGCTCCGAATGTGGGCACAGGGGCTCTGTGCCTTGGTTGCCCAACTACAGGGTCCTTAAGACCACTGGAAAGCCTTCCAGTAGAAAGCTAGTCTCTCATTTAGCCAACACCACCCCTCCAGGTGGGAAGATGCGGTTTCTGAGATTTCAGTTGGACAACCTTATTGTTTCGAAGGCCATTTTTCCTAAAGCTGGAGTGTCACTTTGGGGTGCTGTAGTGAAAATGTGATTCTACTTGAGGTCGGTGGTGTCTGACCCTTGAGTAGGCAGACTGTTGACTGTGTTGCCCACAGAGGTCCCCTTTGTTCTGGTGGTCTGGCCATGCAGGTCTCTTTACTTGGTCTGTTGGAGGGTCACCTGGGTGAGTGACAGTGTCTTAACCTGTTAAAGCTACTGTAACAAAATATCACAGACTGGTGGCTTCTGAACAACAGGAAATTGTTTCACACGGTTGTGGAGGCCAGCATGGCTGGGTGAGAGCCCTCTTGCGGGTTGTAGGCTCCTCTGTGTCCTCATGTGGTGGAAGGGATGAGAGCGCTCTGTGGGGGTCTCTTACAAGGGCACTAATCCCATTATGAGGGCCCCACCCTCATGATCCTTAGTTACCTCCCAATAGCTGATGCCATCATCTTTGAGGGGGAAGACATCAGTCTATGAATTTGGGGGAAACAGGCATCCAGAGGGTGGCAGGTGATGTGAAGGAAAGAGGCTGTGTCAGTGTTCTTCCCATGTATATTCATGTCATTCTCTGACCTTCATCTTAAAGGAAAGAAAGAAATTGACCTGAACTATCAGTTCATTTCCTGGTGGCACAGACAGTAAAGAATCTGCCTGCATTGCAGGAGACCCAGCGTTTGATCCCTGGGTCAGGAAGGTCCCCTGAAGAAGGGAATGGCAACCCACTCCAGTATTCTTGCCTGGAGAATTCCCTGGACTGAGGAGACTGGCAGGCGACAGTCCATGGGGTCGCAAAGAGTCAGACAGGACTGAGCAACTAACATCAGTTCATTAGGGAGTTAATATTAGAAGCCCATTTTTTTAACTATCACAGTTGGATCTGATATGTAAAATGTATTTTTGTTAGCTGGATCATCATCCAGTATTATAAATAATTTATAATCAACATGGTCGTTAATTGTTTATCTAAAATATGACTGAAACCATATCATCATTAATTTCAAGTAATATGTCATTTCAAGTAATATATTAGAGAGATTCACACCATTACAAATAAATGAAAACTTTTATTAAAATAAGATTATTTTTCTGTTGTACAAATGTTTGCTTAGCATATTCCACTGCTGTATTCTTCTTGTAAACCTTTTTGCTTTTCACTGAGAAAGCAGAGCTGTGCTTTGCACCAGTAATTACCTGTGCTTTGGATTGTTGGCAGTGGTTGGCTGGTTCCCTGGAATAAGAGTTCAGTTAGTTGTCACCATGCTAAACAGAAATTTAGAGTTCTCGCATAATATTGTTCGTTTCCAGGCAGTAGAGGTGGTTCCATAGAGTAATGGAAACGAATACCATATTTCTGTTATCTGAGCCATGAATGTGTATTTGATCAACAGAGCTTTGCCTGCAGGCTAATTTGGAAAATGCTAATTATAGAAAAATTCACTCTCCTAGTGAATAAACTCACCTTTCTTAAAACAAATGTCCATGTAAGATTTGTGATACTGCCATAACTTTCCTCTAAAAACATGAAATATCCTGATGGTCATGAAAGGAGTTGGAGCGGTGTCCTTAAATTCTTTTCATCAGTGAAGGCCCCTGAGCAGTTCATGAAACGCCTGTGCCCAGGCCCTTTCACACCAACTCCAGTCTTGGCCTGGAGTCTTGGCCTGGGAGACTCCCCAAGGTGGTTCTAATTGGGAGACACAGTTGAGGACCACTGTCTAGCCAAAAGGGGTCTAGCCTGACCAGAGTCATTGTTATATCATGAAAATATCCTTGAGTCAATTGATCACCGGTTCCACTCTCAGCCAGATTTGTGCCTTGGTCTTCTCCAGTCCAAAATGAGAGTCAGGGCCATGCTCTGGGGCCTCCCTTCTCCTAAGAGCCATTTGACCTCGTGGCTATAAAGCAGGGTGACTGGCCATCAGCCCGAGAGCCCAGCCTTTGGGACAAGAATGAGAACACGTGAGACAAGAGCACCTCCTCGAATGTGTCTTGCCTCGCGTGGCCTCTGTCCTCATCCTCTTGTGCTGCTGCTCACTCTCCTGCTGCTGCTGCTGCTCAGTCACTTCAGTCGTGTCTGGCTCTGTGCGACCCCGTAGACGGCAG